TTGTCACTTTCTCTCTCACTTAAGGAAGAGGAGGCGAGAGAACACGTTCGCACTCAAGAGAGAGTTAAGACACTTACAGGCTGTCACCGACTTCTTCTGGCCCTCGGCAGTCGGTGAAACTACCGCGCCATCAATTCGCAATACATCACGCGCCATGCGAGCATGCATCCGTCGCTATGTCGCGCTGGGAGCGGGCGGCGGGGACTGAGGGTGGTCGGATTCTCTGCTAGGGGATTCTCACTATACATTCGCTGACTATTGAATCGCTCCACTCGATATTCGATGTGGTGCCGACAGAGGAGGAAGGAGAGGGAGGGATGGAGGAAGGGAGGACAGTGGAGAGGAAGAGAGGGAGGGATGGAAGAAGGAAGGACAGTAGAGAGGAAGAGAGGGAGGGATGGATGGATGGATGGATGGATGGATGGACGGACTGATGGACGAATAGATGGAAGGATTGATGAATGGATAAATAGATGGATGGTGGAAGTGAGGAAGGGCAAAGTTAAATAAGAATATATATTAGTGTATATCTTCACGACAGTTAACTATACGAGAGTTAACTTGCTAAGATGCGAGATACGTGAACACGAAACAGCTGCATTGCCGCGGGACACGGCCGGACGACAACCGCTGTTACTGACGACGACGACGACGTCGCAACCGATTACTCGACGAATTTACGTCATTAATCATCGAGTGCTGTTCCCTTGTCGCAGAGATGCCCGGCATCATGGCGCTGAGGAAGAGAGCGAACCAGGACAAGCCACTAGAGGGCACCAGGATTGTCGGTTGCACACACATCACGGCGCAGACTGCCGTACTCATAGAGACGCTCGCAGCTCTGGGTGGCAGCATCCGCTGGGCTGCCTGCAACATCTACTCCACACAGGTATGTCTCTCTATCCCTCCCTTCTCCCTCCTATCCCCTCCCTCCTCCCTACTACCTCCTACCTCCTCCCTCCTCCCTCCTACCTCCTACCTCCTACCTCCACCCTCGCAGCGCTGGGTGGCAGCATCCGCTGGGCTGCCTGCAACATCTACTCCACACAGGTATGTCTCTCTATCCCTCCTTCCTCCCTCCTACCTCCTACCTCCCTCCTCCCTCCTACCTCTTCCCTCCTACCTCCTACCTCCTACCTCCTCCCTTCTCCCTCCTCCCTCCTACCTCCTACTTCTCCCTTCCTTCCTCTCTGCCTATATCAGTCAGTGCGCACTTCTCTCTTTCCTTGCACCCACCCCAACACCCAGCTCCACCCATCCCACCACTCTCTCCCAGTCCCACCGCTCCCAATCATTCCAGCATCCTCCATCCACCCCCTAACCCACCTCCTGCTGCCCACATCTCACCAGTGTTTGAGGCTGAGGTATCACACCATACCCTAGGGCCGTAATAAACAGATTGTTTGTTTGCCCTCACCCGACCGACCCGCCAAAAAGGGGCAGACTCAAAATATTTTATTGATCTTTCCTATTCTTTATAAAATTGTATCACTGTACATTATATAAATCTGTAGGCAATACATTAAATGTACCAAGCAAAACAAACATTCAACATAAAAGGTATCTCCACACAAGCACACCCGAGCATTTAGACACCATGCTTAATATGTAAAGTAAAAAAGAAAGCCTACCTACCTACCCAAACTTTTCAGCCTGGGTCGGGTGAGGGCAAACAAAGATTTTTTTTATTGTGGCCTAGGCAGCATCTTCATACAGGTACCGCCACCTCCTCCGCCGGTCACTGCTCTCTAATGATCTAATCAATATACCGTTAACAACGTATCGTGGAACACACGCGAGCACGCACACGTGCGCAGCTTCCGCGAAGCTTCGATCGTCGTAGCATCGCCGCTAGCTGCAGCCGCGAGCTTCTCACGTCCACGATCTCACGCGCGCCTGTGACGTCACGTCGCTTACCACTCATGGCAGCCAGGCGTGAGAGAGAGGGGTCAGTGAACCCCAGGGGGTCATGCTGCGTGGTGCGGGGGCGGGGGGGTGGGCTGCACGGCGCAGGGGGGGGGGTGGGCTGCA